GATCATGTGGTCATGGGGATGCTGCAATGAGAATGTGAAGAATTGTCATGCCACTTTTTTCAGTGCTGTTGTAACTTTGGTCACTGAATGAATGGTTAAATCGAGGATTACCTCTATCATCTACACAGCAAAGGGAATTATCTTGGTGCAAGATATCCAAAGACAGAATCACTCTTCTGCATCTGTCATATTTCAACTACTTCTTGTAGAAATGGAAAGAGGATGCTTGGTATTGTGTTGGGATGAAGAGAGCTTTTCTTTGTGGTGCATCATTAGGTATTTCTAGTGTTCTTTTGTATGTACATGAAATTCAGGATATAGAATTGCAATTTTAAATATTACTCTGGTTGAATTGAAAGCAATCAATTTACAATTCAGTCCCCAAAATACTGTCTTATGATTTACTTTGATTGTTTGAAATGGAATTTTCTGATGCATAAAGGAGCTTGGTCCCCCCCCCCCCCGAATATACAAACTGTTGGCAAGTTATAACTAGCAATATATGGAAGACTATAGGCCCCATTCTTGGATTACATCCATAGATCGACTTCAGTTCAGCATTTAACACAATCATTCCCCAGCATCTAGTAGAAAAACTGGCCCTTTTAGGCTTAAATACTCCTTTGTGCAACTGGATTCTTGATTTTCTTACAAACAGGGCCCAATGTGTGTGAGCTGGAACAAATATTTCTAACACCATTTTCTTGAGCACAGGTTCTCCTCAAGGCTGCATCCTAAGTCCGCTGCTGTTCACCCTGTTGACCCATGACTGTTGTGCTAGGTTTGCCACCAACCATATTGTGAAGTTTGCAGATGATACAACAGTAGTGGGCTTTATTCATGATGACAATGAGGGTGCTTACTGCAAGGAGGTTGAGGGTTTGGTGAACTGGTGTAAAGAAAACAGCCTAGTTTTAAATACCGGAAAAACCAAAGAGATCATTGTCGATTTCAGAAAAGGCAGGCAGAGCCACACTTCTCTGTACATTAATGATTCACCTGTGGAGATGATTACCAGCATCAAATTCCTGGGTGTGCAGTTAACAAGTAGGCTGGCTTGGTCGTTCATCAGTGAGACACTGGTGAAACGGGCACAGCAGTGCCTGCATTTTCTGCATCGCATGAGAAAAGCACATCTTCCTTCCCCTATCCTTACCACTTTCTACAGAGGGACGATCGAGAGCATCCTGTCATACAGCATCACAGTCTAGTTTAGAAGCATCACTGCTTCAGACAAGAAGGCAGTGCAGAGAGCACGGAGGACATAGCACATAAGCGTTGCTTGAGCAAGGTCCATAAGATTGTCTGGGACACAACACATTCTCTTCATGACCTGTTTTCCTTGTTACCTTTTGGGAGGAGGCTCTGTGGTATCCGAAGCAGAACAACCAGATTCAGTCAGTTTTGTGCCATACAATATTAACCTTGTGAACTCTAAATCTTCCTCCTTCCGTTATGTATTCAAGATGAACAGTGATTAATATTTATGTTACTTATATGTAAGGGTGTAGGTCTATCCATACGTTGTATATAGTATGTTTAAATGTGTCATGTATGTGTACACTTTTGAGAGCAACTAAATTTCATTTTTAATGTGTGCCATTGTGCCCACAGTAAAAAATGACAATAAAGGTTATCTAATATCTAATCTGTTGTATTTTCTGTGATTATGGAAAGTTGTGCACATGCAGTACCTCTTTTAGTTAATTACCCATACCAGGGATTTCTCTTCCTTTCACAGATAGCTATAGAAATATTCCACTGCTTCATGCAAAGATGTTGGCTATTTTTAAAATTTGCCCCTTGATCTGAAGGGAACAGTCATCTGGTTGTGATCTCAATAGGTTGGTTTGGCTTGATTTGCTGTATCTCTGCCTTTGAAGCCTTTCCCCAGCATCAACAATATAAGAATGGATTGAAGAATCCTCTAATTTTACTCCAAAACAGAATGTTTATTAGCTCTCACTGAGCTTGCTTCCCAGCCACTGTTTAATATAAAATCCTAAGCGCAATGAGTTGGCTTATGGTTCTATAAACATTCCAGCAATACCACACAATGTAGTCCAATTCTGCTTGGATTTGTTTTGCATGTTCTCGATTTCAGTGGGTTTGACTCCCAACTAAATGTACATCAGATTGCATCTAACTTCATCACTATGTAGTCTATAAATGATAAACTTAGTTTTCCATTAAATACATTTTCTCGTGAAATGGTAGGCAACTCGTAAAATATTATTTACTGCTTCAGCTACCTCGTTTTATATAAGAACACTGCCCTTCAAAATATGACTTGCATTCACATTAAGGTCTAAGTTCCTTCTACTTAATGCTCTTCAGCCTCTCCAAATTTCTCTCAAAAATATAGAAGCAGCCAGAAAAGCTCAATTTTGTTAAGATTATTTACCAAAAGAGAATTGGGATTCAACAGCACATTTCAAAACATATTGGGAATAATGTGTGTTACTGTTTTTCTCGTTTAAGAACAATTTTTGCTGCTATATTGAGGTTACCTTATTCATTTTGTTGATTCTTTTTGTCAATAAAATATTAACATATATGCTTACTTGCCTTTCTCTACTATTGGAGCTAATTAACAGAAACAGATGGAAGCAAGTTTACAGATAGCTGGTGGCTGGAGATCCCTTTCTCCTGAAAGGTTTATTGCCAATAGCTTTTTGATGTCAATCATTCTTAAAAGTGGAAAGCTACAAAAACTAGCATGACACATATTATCAACAGTATTTTTAATAGCCTTAAGATATGGGAAAATATTTTCTTAAAATTCAAATAATATGGAACATCAGACTGAATTCAACTATAATGGTACCAGAACAATAGAACTGGGTGCTAAGGGACCTGTAACACATTTAAATACTCTTACTTTTCTCAGGCTGAGGAAAGTATATTTTTAGGCAAAGCACCCATTCCCCATGGGTGACCAAATGCACTAAGCAGAGCTGGAGTACAAAATGTGATAGTTAAGAAAACTTTGATTCACAAGAAATAAAAATCCATACATCACAGTATTTGTTCACAATAGCAAGATGATGTTAACCTTGATGGCCCATAGAGTGTAATGTTTCTGTAGCTGTATTTTCTGTGAAGGAGCGTATAGTGCCAATAGTGCCACATTTAAACAAATAATTCTTTCCTGCAGTTCCCCAAGAATGATTTAATCAGCAATATTTTGATTAGGTCAGTTTAGCAGACTAATATTTTGTAATTTAAGTTACAGGTCAATTGATTTTCACCACCTATTGATATTATCATTAGTACTGAGCCATAAGAGAAGGTGGAGAGAGCAGCACTTAATCAGAATATTTTGTTAATTCATGGTTTTGTCACATTTTTACGGCATCTTGAAAATGCTCATCCCTGTGATTGTCTACCCCCCCCAAAAAAAGAAGAAAAAGAAAAAAGCATATACCAAGTACAAGGGGTTCTTCCTGAGCAGATCCAGTTTTTGTTTTTTAAAACTTTATTTAATGAAAAAATATAATACATGGACAAGTGATTTTATTTCAATGAACATAGTTGGAGAATCTGCAAAGGACTTTACAAATAATTGGTCTGACTGTTTCTAATGTACTTATTGCTAAGCTACAGCAAATTAAAGAAAAAGATTAACATGAACAGGTTAAAACAGTAAAGTAGCTCATATTCCAGTCGTGAAATCTTAGCATTGAAAAGCTAGATGTTTCTCTTAAACTACATAAAGTAATTAATCTCCAGTATTGCTTTAATATTTTCAGTGCAAATATTTCATTACTCCAACAATATTAGCTTCTACGCCTAACTTTTTCCCCAATATTTTTTTAAATAGATATTTTAATCATCTCATTTCAGACTGACAATATACATATTGACAGGATCTATCCTGACATCCCAGCAAACATCTATTCATACTTTACTTCTTGCTAAAGTCTCTCTGTAAAGCAGAGATGTCCAAAATGCTTGTTCATTGTTTGAGTTGGAAAACAGAACTTCAAAATGCCACCGTCACCTTTACAAAAAGGAAAAAAGTGACAATCCCAAGAGTCATACTTAATTTTTTCTACAAGAATATTCCCACAAGAGGCATTTTACAGTTTCCCTTCTCCAGATACTTTCTGAAAATGAAGAGAGTGGAAATAATTTTTGCAAGGAATGTGATCTAATGCAGTTCAACGATACCGAAAGAGTGGAAGGCTTCCTGGGCATCCAAAAACTCCCTGTGAACCCCTCTGGATTTTACTCCCTAATGCCATCAGAGGCACCTAGAACTGTAAGCCAGCTGCTATAATTCAATTAACACAATGTTACTATGAAGCAATGTGAATTATTAAAAAGGAGGATCATTGTGCCCTTCCCTGCTGCTGTACATACGACAAGAAAATGGGAAGATGACATTTTTAGGAGTGAACGGTCTAGAGACCTCAAATGCATTCTGTATAAGCACCTGCAAAAATATGATTTAGTGTGGTCTGTCTAGTCCAGGCATGTCAAACTACCGGCCCGCGGGCCAGATGCGTCATGCCAAAACTGCGCCCACCCCATTGCTGGCAATGGGGGAAAAGTCGCGATACGTCACGCAACATCGTGAGTTTAACATGCCTAGTCTAGTCAAATCAGCCAATCTAAACAGTAAAATTTTCACTCTAGTAAAACATGTTCCCAGTGGATTTTCTTTCCCCTACAGTCAAGTCTATCATGCAACTGGGACTATCTGTGAAAGATGTCCAATTGAGGAGTGCCACAACACCAGGTCACCTCCAGGAGGAATTAAGATTTTTTGGTTAAAAAAATTGTAATTTTATACTTCGGGAAAAACAGAGTAACTGCCAACATTGGTTCTTTTTATGATTTAGCAAGACCTCAAGCAGTTCACATGTCTTCTGGATCTCAGGTCTTTAAAAAACTCTAGTTCAACACACACATTTTTCTGCCGTATTAGCAGCTTGCATTGCTAACAAGAAATATGGGGTACAGATGAGTTAACAATTGCAACAGACACAGTGATATACATTTGATTTTAATGAAAAGCATTTAATTGTGCTTTGTAGAGCAGTCCTACATTTTTGTATCAAACATCCACCCCTTCTATCCGAAAGGGGTCACTGAAGAATGTGGTTTTCCAACAGACATAGCATAAAAATAGTTAACTATTTTTTCCTCTAAAATTTACATATCCATCTAAATATATGCAGTCACAGCAATGTTGTAATTGAACAGGATACAACAAAGCCCAGGTTTAGTTCAACTATTCATTGTACATCTCTAATTACTTCTGAGGGTGGTTCTAAAAGACATTTACATACAATAAGTGGCTTTAGAAACAAGGAAGAAAGGGAGAGAGAGAAGGGAGAATAAGAAAGCTCAGAAATAATTGTTCTGTTTGTTTAGGGCTTATTTACAAAAAACAAAAAGAGAGAGAAAAAAAAATCTCTTCAATTTAACAATAAATAAGCCTGACATTTGTTTGTTTTTTTTAAAAAAAAATCATGCACATTTTAAAGTGAAAACATGCCTGGAAATTATTTACATAGGGCACAATCCAGCAGGATAAGTATTTCACATGCCCAGTCAAATGAATTGTTCCAATTTACCATCACTTTGCACAGCTTTTTATGGGCCTTGTGTATCAAGCCATCCTAGTATGATGGAGTTCACACTTGGCCTCTATCTTCCCAAATCCTACAATTTCACAGCAGCAGAAAAGTGCATTTCCCCCTCCACTGTTCTTTTGCATTGTCTGTTTCCAAATTGCAGATTGTTCATTCTAGCTTCTGTGGAATACACCCTTCCATCTCCACAACTTCTGGCCATCCTTCGTACTTGTTGGTGTCCTTGTTGTTTTTAATATGCTGCAAAGAGAAAGCCATTTCAATTGTAAGATGTAAGTATAGTTATTGTTGCACTGAAACACAAGATTTTCTAACTTACAAAAAGCAATATTTTTATTTATGTTGGGTGGTACAAATTCTTATGTCCTGCTACATTTTTCCCAAGGCAAAAATATATGAAAAAGAAAAGTTCCAGAGTAAAGAAAAACAAAAAGCTGTATGAAATATAAGAGCTAGTGCACAACAATGCTCTTAGTCTGAATATTAACATAGAAATCAGTATGAGAATTTTCTGCTATTGTTTTCAAATAACATATTCACAGAATCTACTTATTTTCCTCCTAAGAATCTATAGTGATTGACCACCATTATCATCATCAATGCTAAGGGTTGAGGAAAAGCAATTGGAAAACAATACGAAATATTAGGACTTGCAGATTGAAGTTGATCAAAGTTGAGATTGAAAAGAAATCTATTATTAAACCAATCATGATTGGAGCCCTGGGAGCAATATTTAAAGGACTTCCTTGATATCTGGAAATGTTGATTTTATCAGATTTAAACACTCTAATTTACCAAAAACAATCTTGCTTAGAATTGCCTGTGCTCTTAAATGGTAGCTTAATAATTCTTAGATCCTTTGTTAGGACCTGAACTGTTAAATTTCTACCAATCTTAGACTAACTGTAGATAATCCATACATAATAACATCTGCCTATCCCAGCTTCTTGAGAAGGACTCAATAAGTGGATAAAAATGCCAAATCCAGTCTAAAGATCTGGATGACTGTGGAACCAACCGTAATCATAATACAGTAATAAGTAGTAGTAGAAGTTTCAAACAGAAAAAATGACACCAAAGTAACACATCAGGAATAGAAATATTTAAGATACTCAAAGGGCAGGGGACAAATTAATGTTCACAGTGCGGGGACATTTAAATTTCATTTTCAAAATCTTGATATGACCCTAGGAAGTTCTGAGCAAGGCACTAAGACTGTTCAGTGATCCAGAATAGAAGGGGGAATTGTGATTTTTGAGCACACATCTGCTCATATACCATCTCAGTGCAATTAGATAAAAATGCATTTGATTTAAGCAGAGGTACTCCATATACGACTCCAAAGACTTTTCTTCTTCAAATCCAAATTAACTCAGACCTTCTTCCTAATTCCAATTAAGTATCTTTGCAGTTACTGAAGTGCATCTCCAAGACATGCAATGTATGTTTTGGGGTCAAAAGACACTCCAATATGTCATCTAAATGTTAATGTGAAAACATACCTGTTCAAAAGGGCTTTTAGTTTTGATTCCTTTCCCACCACAGAAGACCCAATTGTCTCTGAAGCCAAGTGTCATGATGGACGTACTCCCCAAATCTGATATTAGTTTCCGTGCCTCTTCAGTAAGCCTTCAACCGAATTTTAAGAATTACTATAGAAATGTACTATTATCTAGAATATAATCTACCAAATTGACTCATATAAACACTTTCCTTAATCTATTGAACTTTTGCCTTTATTGTACAAATATTGTACACTTTCACACATATGCACATTATTCAGCAACCTCTGCTGAATGATGACAACCCAATTCTTGGAAGGACAACATGTCTCCCTCTTTTGCTCTCATCTAATTGTAATCTACTAGACAGCAAATATGACAGCATATTTTTCAAATATTCCTTACAGATTAGCTATATAGCTAGTGATGGATGGAGAAAACAGGAACAATATAAGTAAGAGTTGGGATGGGGGAGGGAGGGGAGGTCATTTTAATGATGACCATAAAAGAGATCAGGACCTCCATGCTTTAATGTTATTGCTCCTCACCGCTGACTGAGTGAAAAGTGTCTGGTCCACCCCTATTTTGACTTGTTTAACCGAACAGCTAATTTTCAATCAATAGCAACAGCTGTTATGTGCATGCAGTGTTATTACCTGTTGCTTGTTTTGTCTTGATTATTTATGGTAATTCTGTCTTGATTATATGTAGTTGCTGCATAATGCAATCATTATTTCACATTTAATTTATTGCTACAGTTACAATTATAAACTATTATTAATCAATCATCACCACAAAAATTCAAAAGCTTTATTTTAATTCTCTTCATTCGTCTCCAGTTTGGGAAAACAGCTAAAACTCACAGCAAGCAATTCTTCAGTTTCAAGCACTAAGATGTGAGATTCAGCCTGCCTACATACTTCAAATTCCAAAAATGGCTACAGGATCCTCAACTGATCACTTAGCAATTACAACTGATTCTCAGCAGTTTGGGGAGTCCAAAGTTACAATTGACCCTCCCCCAAAAATGCTTATGATCCAGTTCTGAACTTCTGATGGCCCAACCCCCTTGATCATGTGACTGCAGTTCAAGCACTTGGCAACAAGTTTGCATTATGTCCCTGGGCAGCATCCCACAGTCACATGACCGTGATTTATGCCATTTTTGACAAAAAAACAGGCTTTACTTCCTCTTTTTGGCAAAAATGTCCCGTAGCAAACAATGGATTGACTTAACAACTGCTGCAAAAAAAGGGTGTAAAATCAGTTCTAGTCATGTGATGACCTGCTTTATGACCACAACTTACAACCATAATGGGCAGGATCCATTAGTCATAAGTCAAGGACTACCTGTACCAAATAAGTATTGTATTTCAAACAGACTTACTTAGTGGCACCATCGTCATATGTTGCCATTAATACAATAGTTCCATCTGCAAAAGTCTTCAGAAATTCAATGAATGGGGCTACATCTACATCAAATGGAAGCACAACATTTAATATTTATTAAATTTATATAGCTGTTCATCTTGCAAAGCAACTAACATGATAACTACCATTAATATAACAAATGCCAAAGGCAAAAAAAGAACATAAATTATATATGACTGCCAAACAGGAAATGCCACCCTATTTTGATTTACAAGACTTTCATTCAAAACTCACATTTTAATTCAAAATATTTAATGCAAAATTGAAAAGCAACATTTGTCAAGTTTTTATTATTAGATTTAGCTTTAATAAACTGGATTTAATTAAGAATAAGCATGCTAATGTCCATTTTAAATAAGTGAACAAGTAAAATAATGTATTAACTACATATTTTATAAAATAAGCACATTTCTGCACTTACCTCCACCCCACATATCAAAGAATTTTGTGTCCAGTACTTCACCTGTTTTGCCTAGCAAAAGGAATAAGACATGGAATGCAATAAATCAACATACACTGTATATGAAGAATATATAAAGATAAAAAGAACTGATCTATATTAATGTGTTCATGATTAAAAGTATAGTCTAGGAACATATGTACTCAAAATCAGATAAGGGCTAATATGGATTTGCTTGTATAGAATAGCAAGTGGTATCATTAAAACATGCTGTATTGGTGACTTGTGCTTGGCAAAATCTTCCAGCTCTTAGTAAGTGGCAAAAGCTGATTAAATATGCTAAAGTGCATTTTTCTATCTTTGTGTACAGTATTGTTGATATTTAGCAAGAGCAAATATTTATCAGGTGTGCTGCCTTTCAGATTCTACAACTGTGTAAATTTGACAAAATAATTATTTCCAAACTTAGGGCAACAATGGAAAGAAATTTAGGACCCAGGACCATTTTGAAAATTAGCACTTTGATCAGCTAATGAAAATGAGAGAGTAGCAGCATTCCCTTTTTGTAGCATTATTTTTAATTTTAATTGACACCCCCTCTTCCTAGTAGCAGATACAAGTTTGGGCCAGAAGAAGCTTCTCACTTCTTGTCAGTTGGTAGCCATTTTATGTTAAATTAATGCTGTTGGCTGTCCTTAATTTCCATGAAAACAAACAAATCAATTAAAGATATTCTACCTATTTTTTTAAAAAAATAAAGATCTAAGTTAAAAAAGAAAGATAAAGATGATTTCTGCTGACTATACAAAGACATCCATAATTTTACTTGCAGAGATTTGTGTTAGTCAAGACTCTCCATCCTTAGCTTCGTTTCTGAGCCTAGTAATAGGCATTGCTACGCTCTGAAATTTCATTTCATTATTCTACTATGAAACAATGCCTAGGAAAGCACACCCTTGGGTATTAAAAATAAACATGGATTTTTGTGTTATCAACAGAGCACCATCCATAAACAAGATAAACACACACTAATCCATGAAGTGGAAAAAAGAGAAATGTGGCAGTGGCAGAAACAGTCAAGAATGAAATATTACATTATAACTCTGAACTGCAATAATTGGATCTATTTATAGAAAAGGAAAATGTGTGTTAGCTTAAAGTGGTCCTGCTTCCATTGAAACACTGGGGGAGGGAAGTGGAACAGTAAAATGACCTAAATCTGTTAGTCTAAGGTTTACGATCATTGGCCTACTTGAGACTAAAATAATCCCCACCCTACCCAGGAGGCATGTCATCTGAACAGCTGAGCTACTTTATGTGGCAGATACAAAGTCCTGGAATGGCATCACAAAAGTGGATTATCTGGAGTTACTACAGATCTTAGATACATCCAGATAAGTTTGGGAAGGGGGGAATTGAAAGGGGGGGGGGACAAAATATGGGATGGATATGCTACCTTGATCCTGTCCACAGTGGCACTGAACCAATCAATTTCAGCAGAGTAGAAAAAACAGGGCACAGAACTGAGAAGGAAAATGGTCACATTTGAGCATCCTTTGGAGAGGCCCTGGACTATGCTCTGTTGTTGAAGAAGATAAATAGGTGCAAAGAGGATGTCTTGGCCAGACATGTACAAACACTTACCATTTACTAGGGCTATATTAATGCCCCTCCCCACGTTGTTTTTAACACCACTCATCAAGCTGAAACAACACAAATGAAGATAATTACAATAAGCTTCTTGTCTTGTTAACTTCTCCTGATTGCACACCATGTAGAGGGTGTGATTCTTGCCAATAATAAAAAATCCACAAGAAATGTGACCACCCTTCTTAGCTGTTAAGGTTTGTTAAATAAAATCTGCACAAAAGTTGTCCCCTCTCTTTACCACTGTCAGTTTAATTATCACCAGGCACGCTTGTAGCATATGAAGAATAGCAGAGCAGATTAGCTTTCAGCTTGAATCAAATCAGCTGAATTACACAATTAAGTCTACTCAGCTATGGAAAACAAGAAATCATAAAACATCTACAGAATTATACATGGGAATCTTCCTAGCCCCTCTCATAGGAAACATCTTGAAATGCAGCAGCAAGTTTGCCACAAATGAGCTAATTGAACCCATGGCCCTTTGTTCCTAAGAAACTAGAACTGTTTTGACTGTTATTTAATTCCTAACTGAAGAAGCTGATTTGCAAGCTGGTATTTCTGGCATCATCCCAGATTATAGTTTATGTACAAAAAATGAAACAAAAGTATGAAGTTCAAAATATACCATTTGTTTAATATCAACAGCGAACAATAAAAATATTGATGTGATCTTGAGGGCTTTGTATAGGAGTTTATACTATTCTTTGACACTTTGCTGCCTTCCTTCTGTGATGAATTACAAGTCTCATCATTCCCAATCATTATGGACATTATAATCCAAACCATAGGGAGAACACTTCATTGGAAAGATCAGAGTTTAGCACACAATGTGATCTCAGCCAAAGGCATTTGAACTAAGCATTTGCAAAGAAAGGAAAGACGCATTTCCAGTGACGTTTAGGATTTACCACAAGAGGGGGACAACACATTGCTTTTAGATTTCTTATTCAAATAATAAACAACTATTCCTGAAGAGTGAGACGGAAAGATAAGGACAATAAAATACCATTCAGTGATTTATCAGAAGAGATTTGAAGTAATATTAACATTTCATACAATTCTGATGGGTTACTTTCACCTAGAGGCAAGTTGTCTAATTTGGCAGCTTCCAGAGCTATGCTGGCTGTGGAATTCTGGAATTTGAAGTCCACACATTAGTCAATGAGATCAACTGAAGTTGGAAAAAATGCCATTCTTTGCCATAGATATTCTTCCATATCTACTTGACTAGGATGGATCCAAAAGAATTCCTAAACTGTGAATATGAGTCTACAAGTAGAGGGAGTTTCTACTTCAAATATCACTTTAAGAATCAATGTAAGCAGAATGTTTAAAGGCTGTCACCATACCTGGCTCACCCAAGGTTAGAAATCATAAACTTTACTTGATAACTACCCTTATTGAATTGTGGGCTACAATGAAAGAACAACCCTGAGCCTTTGACCCTGACATTATGTTGAAATATCTTTGAACCTGACATTATGCTGAAATATCTTTCTGATAAAGCAGGAGTTTGTGTTTTAATCGAAACAAAAATCAAAATAAAAGACCTCAATTAGATGTGCAAGACAGATTTTTTGTGTGTATCTCTGAAAACCATCTTTATAGGTCAGGATACTGAAAAAGAAAAACCACTAATCAAAGACCCTCAGAGGAAGAATGGAGGCATCCTCTTAAGACTGTGAATTAAGTCTAGTCCTTTATGGCCAACTGCTAAGAGAGAAATAAGGCCAGTTGATAAAGAAGATGTAAAAACCCTGTCTTAGGGGATTTTTCAAACAAACTACAAAAGATTGCATGCTGCCTTGAAAGCAAATATTGGATATATATTTTAATTAGGTCAGGCCAATATATTCTGCATTAGGAAGGAAGTGATGAAAACTCTGCCACTGATCCTTAGGGCATAATGAGAAAAATGTTACTATATTGTTATAAATGATTTTTCATATTATCAAATCACCCTGAATGATGCACAACCATTTATTCAAAATGATTGTTCAGAAAAATTCTAGAACATTCCATTCAATATTTCAATTCTGATAATCTGGATAACCTGGGCATGGTTTGACAGTATTCTAGAAACTTTTCTGAACAGAAAATTATTTGTGGTATTTCAGAATGGCCTGATTCCCCGAAAACATGACTTCTGGATGGTTCCAGAAAACTTCTGGAAACTGCTAGATCACTCTGGAATGGCCATATCACTATGGGTTGGAAAGAGAACCAAAGGTTCCAGAGTTTTCCTGAATATTGTCTCTCTGCTATAGAATAGATTGAAAAACCTATCATTAAACATCTTCTGAGTTCAAGGACATATACATTGGTTTCACTCATTTTACATTATTTACACAAAATAATGCCATGAGGGAGCATCTGCCCTACAAGACAGACCAGACTAATGCCAACCACTTTTATTATAATTGCTATAGTAACAGAATCTTACAAGTCTGAATGTGTTGAATCCCCTTCTTTTATCTTTATGCGAACTAGGGAGGGGCTTGTCAAGTTATTTTCTTGGGAAGGTGTCAAACCCTTCTTATCTAACTGTTGACTTTAGTAGTAGCTCTTTCAGGACATTCCTTGTGCTGCCTATAAGTAGACAATAACAGACACAGCAACATCCAACAGCTATGGACTCATTGAGGATTTGAACATGGATTACTACCAGTGTGATCATAATCCTTTGCTCTAATCACTACACTATGGCATACCATTTAGCAATAAAATCTAATCTGTTTCATGACTATCTGCAATGAAAATAGTCATATCCATTACAACACTGTGTCACAGTATGATCCAAGGAGCAGTTCATAATCATTGAAGTAAAATTATGCCAATCCTGTTAAATAGGAAGACTTTAAATTAATTATAATATATCTTGACATTTTTATCATTCTCTTGTATATTTTACCACAGGAGATTATTTGGTGATAGTTTGGAATACTTTAGCACATAATTGGAAATACACCACATACACATACCCCACAAAAAATAACCATGACAATCTTTGATAAAGTTTTAATAATCTTTTCAAGATTTCCCTGGAAGTCATTTAGTAAGAAAATCTGTATTTTATGTTTACACTATATAGAACAATATCCAAAGCTGTTAATAAGATACAAAGATATAATACTGAAAAAATAGAATTCAAAAAGAAAACAACAGAATAATTAAAATCACCATAATCAAGCCAATCAAAACTGTAGTAGAGTTTACATTAAAAGAAAAAAAATTAAACGACCCATGGAGACCTTAGGATGCAGGCAAGATAGAATGGGAGAAGATGCAGGTTTTGATATCTATATATCCCCCTACATCTCTAGTTAAAGAAATTGGTTCATACATACACATTGTCTTCTACACATATTTTAGGTCCAACAACGTTGGCTGCTCCACTTGCCATTTTGAAAGCAAAATGATTTGCTGGACATGATTTTGTCGTTCCACATTTATACCTTGGAGGCTTTGTAGCTTTTGGGAAAGAAGGGAATATATTTTAATTTAAGGAATGCAATAAAAATTCAAAATAAAAAGAATATACAACAAAGAGAAAAAGATATAGAATAGAGCTGGAAGGGACCTTGGGGGTCTTCTAGTCCAGCCCCCTGCTCAAGCAGGAGAACCTATACCATCTCAGACAAGTGATTGTCTAGCCTCTTTTTAAAAATCTCCAGTGATGGTGCACCCACGATTTCTGAAGGCAAGGTGTTCCCCTGGTTAATTGTCCTCACTGTCAGGAAGTTTCTCCTTAATTCCAGGTTGCTTCTCTCTCTGATCAGTTTTCAACCATTTTATTTGTCCTGCCCTCTGGTGCTTTGGTGAATAACGTGACCCCCTTTTCTTTGTGGCAGCCCCTCAAATACTGGAATACTGCTATCATGTCTGCCCTATTTCTTCTTTTCTTTAGACTAGCCAAACCCAAGTCCTGCAGCCGTTCTTCGTATGCTTTAGACTCCAGGCCTTTGATCATCTTAGTTGCTCTTCTCTGAATTTTTTTCAAATTCTCAACATCTTTTTTTAGTACAGTGACCAAAATTGGCTGCAGTATTCCAGCTGTGGTCTTACTAGGGTTTTATAAAGTGGTACTAATACCTCGCGTGATCTTGATTCTATGCCTCTGTTTATACAACCCAGGATTATATTAGCTTTTTTGGCTGCTGCTGCACACTGCTGGCTCATGTTTAAGTAATCATCCATAAGAACTCCAAGGTCTCTCTCAGAGTTACTGTTTTTAAGCCAGGTCTTCCCCAATCTGTACTTGTATCTTTAATTTTTCCTGCCTAAATGTAAAACTTTGCTTTTCTCCACACTGAAACTCATTTTGTTGGATAGGGCCTATTGTTCAAGTTTGTCAAGATCTTTTTGGATCTTTAGTTGGTCTTCTAGGGTGTTGGCTACTCCTGCCAGTTTGGTGTCATATAATTGCAGACATTGTAAAATAAAAGCAAAGGACATAAAAGTAAAATGCAAGTAAGTTGCATATGGTGTTTGAAACTCAGGAAAAGCATTTCATGCCATAGTCATTTGATTTGCAGAATGCAATCTGGAACAAAATTGTGTACAATATATTTACCTTAGATTATGTGCAGGTGCACAATAACCTTACATTGAATTAGTGGTTGTAAGGTTTTATCTTTTTTTCCTCAAACAGGTCAGTGCATGCATACACTTCCATTAGAAATCCAAGCTTGCATTGAACAGATCAAGCCAAAGAATAAAGAGCATGAATTAACCTGGCCTTATGAATTGGGATGAATACATGGAAGTGAAGGAGTGGATTTAATTATGAAAGCACTGAAATGAATGTCACAAAAAATGAATCAGTGTTATGTAGGTTCTTGTGGGTTCATATGAAAGTAGGAATCTATAAGTTAGTGATAGCTGCATGTTTGGTCTAGAACAGCGCTTCTCAACCTATGGGTCGCGACCCCATTTGGGGTCGATCGACCATTTCACGGGTGTCGCCAAGCAAGGCTGTCCGCCATTTTTTTCCCCTTTTCCGGCAGGTGCCTTACCTCCCTTGAGCTGGGCCAGCTGGTGGTCGACCTGCTCCGTCTCTGCCGCTTGCCAGCTACGCCTCGGCCGGCACAGGGGGCAGAACCACGCATGCGCGGCGCTCCCGGGCAGGGAAAGTCCTCAACTTACGACCGGTTGGGTAGTCCTCGACTTACAACCGGTTTAGTCCTCGACTTACGACCGGTTGGGGGTCGCGGCATTAAAAAGGTTGAGAACCACTGATCTAGAAGTTAGGGCAGGCTAGAAGTTAGGGCAGGCTAGAAAGCAAGAGACCATGAGTTCAAGTGATGCCTTAGCCATGAAAGGCTGTCGCTCTCTCTCTCTCAGCCCAACTCACTGAACAGCATTGTTGATATAGCGAAAAAAGGAGGAAGTAGGATTAGATATTGGTATGTTTGCTGCCTTATTTGTAAAAATAATAAAGATGGGATATAAACAAACAAACAAAAAAGAATAAATGTTATGTTCTAATGGATGATAATAAATAAGGAACGAGATATGAATTCTTGGAAGAACTGTGAAACATTCTGAATCCAGGGGAGCAAATTATTCTGTTATGTGACATGAACAGGTAAGTGGAAATGAAATGCGAATAGAGAAAAGAGCTTTGGGTAAAAATAATGAGAATAATGACTGCTTGGTGAATCTTTATTAAGAAAGTGATCTTTTTCAAATGCGTGGTTTAAGCCAGACATGTCAAACTCGCGATGTCACGTGACGTCGTGCAACGTATCGGGACGGTTTTGCCATTGCCAGCAGTGGGGTGGGCGCGGCTTCCGGATGACACATCTGGCCACGGGCCGGCAGTTTGACACCCCTGGTTTAAGCATACGCCTATTCATAAATACATATTTATTTATTTATTTATTATTTCAATTTATATCCCGCCCTTCTCCCGAAGGACTCAGGGCGGCTCACAACATTATTAAAACAAAGAAAGACCCACACACCCCACCGAATAAAACCAAATTAAAACCAAAATTTTTGTGTTGTGATAATTAAAATTTCTAAAAAACCCAGTTTAAAAATCCTCCCTAGGCCAGGCCCG